GATGAATGTCCATTTTGTATCTGTGTATTCAAAGTGGTTGGGATAGATATATAGTTACATTCTGTTAATGAATGGAATGATTTGTTCTAATGGTGTTTGTAAATAGGATCACAAGTCCGCATGTTGTACAGCAATTAACCACTAAGAAGAATATATGCAGTGTATTATTTGTTGAAAAATAAAAAAATAAATAAAAAATAAAAAAAAAACATATCTATTTCCAGGGCCTGTGAGACAGCTCAGTGGACTAAGCACCTGCTTAGGCAAGTGCAGGCACCAGGGCTTGATCCCCATCACCACATGTCACACAGGCCCTCCCCCTGGGCCCACTGAGTCAGCCACTGAGACCGGGCATGGGAGTACATGCCTATAATCCCAGCACTGGGAGGTTGAAAGCAGGAGGACCACTATGAGTCCGAGCTGTGTAGTGAAATCCTGTACCAAATACATTTTTTAAAAAGACATATCTATTTCCTTATGATAAGTGAAACAAAATCCTACCTGAAACAACTTTTCCCTTTGGCCCGTGCCACTGGAAGGATGGGTCTATGAGCTCAGCGTTGCGAAGCTGCTGGTCTGCACACAGCACGTGTGGACTCCGCTGGTGGAGCATGACGTAGACGTGCACTGAAATGCAATGTGACAGTGGTGCAGTGACATTTGGGGCTGTCCTCCTCCAGCAGAAGCTTATCTCTGCACAGTTTAGATTACATTCTCTTACACAATTTGTTTGAATTAATATTATGTTAACTTGATAAGATCTAATTCACATTGCATGGATGTAACTAGTGTTAAAAACATACACTGTGGAGACGGGGCGTGGTGGCGCGTGCCTGTAATCCCAGCTCTTGGGAGGCTGTGAACAGGCAGATCATTGCGAGTCCGATCTAGCAGTGAGACCCTGAACACCCTGTAGACCCGTCCCTAAAATACAAAAGAAAAATATACATTGTGTTTTATTTGCCTGTCTGTGTGCACATGTGTATGTGTGTGGGTGTGAACATGTGTATCGTCACCTTGAACAAAATGTGTTGGTTCTTCTTATTCAGCACTCAGGTACACTGACTTTATTCCCAGGGTATCATTTCAGTTACAGACTGCCAAGGTAATAGGAACGTACTTCTATATCTAGGCTTCATCTGCTTAGTGTAGACAAAGCTTAGAGAAAATTGTCTGGATGAGAGGAATAACATTCACAGAAGGTGACACAATATGCTGAATAAAATAAGAAAGGGACTAAAAAGCCAAATTGCTTTGATTATAAATGCTAAGCATCTTGGCCCATTATGCTTTAAAATGTAAAGAACTATGGGAGGGGGCTGTAGCTCAGCAGCATCAGTGCCTGCGCGGCAAGTGCAGCGTCCCAAATTCAATCTCAATCTCCAGTTCCTGGGGAAAAAAAAAGTCCCATTCTAAGACGTACAAGAACGATGATAAGCAAAACTGGAATGCTTTAGGAATCAAAGAGAATACAGTGTACAGAAAATAGGGTTTTTGTTGTTTCTTTGTTTCGTTTTGTTTTTGTATTTTAGGGAAGGGTCTACAGGGTGACCAGGGTCGGACTCATAGTGATCCACCTGTTTACAGCCTCCCAAGAGCTGGGATTATAGGCGTGTGCCACCACACCCAGTCCCAATTGCTATCTAAGCATGCCCCCGGGGTGGGGCAGGCACGGCAGGCCCGGGGATCAAACTCCCAGCCCCTGTGCCTGCTTGCAGGCGCTGTAGTGCGCTGAGCTATTTGGCCAGCCCTAGCAAATAGTTTTGAGTTTACTCGTAAGCAAGTTTTTTAGAAAAGCCTCCAACTTCTTAGAGATCACATGCCAACTGTTCAGTGATTCACCATATGTAAAGATTTTTGTGATCCAATAAAACAAAAAATTTTCAAGAAAAATTATTTTTCAGAATCAAAATTTTCATTAACTTTACAGAAATTGCCTCAAAATTTTAAAATTTAATTGTATTGGTATATTTGTGATATACGTAATGATCACACTCATTATAGGGAATGTTTACCTATCATAACGTATTTTATTCTTTTTAAACATTCAAAACCTTTACTACAACACAAGATTCTTACTGAACATATACAAATGTACAAATACATACTTACACACACACACACACACACACACACACACACACAAACTTCTGCATAGACTTTGAAGTTTTCTCTATCATTTGTTGTTGGCGTAAATCAAAATTGCACATTAACAAATCTTCATCTAACTGAGGTGACTTTTTGGTTGAGTATTCTAACTGGATGCTGGGCAGCAATAGGATGCTTTCCTAGAGCAGATGAATCGGTTAAGCTATTTTACCTAGTCATTGCTGGATCCTTCCTTTACAACCTCAAAGAAGCCAGCTCTGCCAATATCTTCCAGCCGTGATAACTGTGAGAAGATTCAGAGCCATTTCTGCTGTTTCAGCCATCCTGTCTGTGGAGCTGTTTGTTTGTTTGTTGAGACAGGACCCTGCTATGTCGTCCAGGCTGGCCTTGAACTCACTATGGGGCCCAGGCTGCCCTTGAGTGTGTCAGTCCCACTGCCTCAGCCTCCCAGGCGCTGGGATCACAGGCATGTATCACCATGCCTAGCCTATGGCGCTTTTCTACAGCAGCAATAAAGGATAAATAGCCTTCATAACAGACCCAGCAGCACTCGGGGTGCACAGGTCCTCACACCAGCAATCGCCCAGACCCCAAGCCTTGCAATCACCCTAAAGGCCACCCTGTGACATAAAAATGGAACCAGCAGTGTGTCATTGGGCAGGGGTGGGGCAACCAGGGGGCAGAGCCTTCCAAACCTCCTTCGCACATAACAGAATTCATTAGACCCGTCCAGCAGGTGTTCTGGGGATTTGGGTTTATTTTTGAGAAAGGGTGTCACTCAGACTGGCCTTAAACTCATGGCAACCATCTGGCCTCAGCCTCCTGATTGCTGCATTACAGCCATGTGACACCATACCCAGCATGAGGGGATTTTTTTGTTTTGTTTTGTTTTTTAAGATCTCATTTGCAAAGCTGCCTTACTCTTTGTGAAGCCCTGTTACAGTCAGTAATAGGAAGAGAAAACAGTAAGTTAACCAAAGCCCACAAGAGAAAAGGCTAAAGCATGACACAGCCACAAGAACCTTGAAAAGTTCTGACAAAATACTAAAAAATAGGCAGCCACCTATATTCAAGGGATCCTGAAAGTGGCCAGGAGAGTGTGTGTGCTTGGAAAACACTAGGAGGTCCTGCGGCCCCATATCTGAACGAACCCGGGCTCTGCAGAGCCTAAAGTAAACGGTCAGGGAAAGGCACCAGCAGCCTGGCTAAAACAAAAGGAAGGCTCAGCGCGGGCACACAGACGTCGGCAGAGTCCGATGGGCTAAGCGGTGCCTCGTGGGGACGACACTTCCATCCCGGCATCAGCCTAAGTAGACGGCACAGTGGCTGGCGGGGCCACACATGTTAAAGACTACATAATTTATAAAATTACTTCATGGAAGGGACAAACAAAATCAGCATCATATTCTAAGAACGAGCAATTACACTTACAGAGTTGATACGCTGGGTAATTTAAAATGTCAGGTTTTCAACTTAAAAATACAGCATTCAAAAAAAGAAATTATGATCCTATGAAAAAGAAAAGGGAATTGAAACTGGCCCCAACAAAGATCAAATCTCGGGCTTACTGGATAAAAACATGAAGTTGGCTATTAGGAATATGAGCCAAGAAGACTATGAATAATGTACCCAAGATTATAAGGCTTCTCTTCAAATGGAAAATACCAACAAGGACCTAAAAATGTAAAAATGAGCCCAAAAACCTGTGCAAAATACACTAGCTAAAATGAAAACTTCGGTAGAAGATATCACGGCCATGTTGAACAGGTAGAAGCTATCAGTGAATTCAAAGATAAGCCATTTTTGATTACTCTTGTCTGAGAGACAGAAAGAAATGAAAGACGGAAGATCAATGAGCAGACTCAGAGACCCGAGGGCCGTCGTCACCTACTGGCACACGTACGATGCCGGCCCCAGAAAGGACAGTGACGGACACAGAATGTTTGAAGAAATAATGAGAAAAACTTCGCAAAACAGATGAAAATGTAACCACAAATCCCAGAACCTCAAAGTACTCTAAATGCAGTAAGATTAAAGAGATTTGCACCTAGATGTCGCCTCAGTGCCGATTATTTGCAGATGCCCACAGCGAACAAAGAGCATCATGACACCAAGGGGAGCATCTTACACTGAACCATCCCAAAGCTTATTGTAAAGCAAAGTCACCAAGACAGCAAGGCACTGACATCAGGACAGAAACACCAGTGAACAAAATAAAATGCAACACCCATAATAAAGTCACACAACTGTGACTATTTTACTAAGTTTCCAAGACAATGCAACAAAAACTAAAATAGACTCTTCAACAGAGAATGCTAGGACAACTGGACAATCATATGCTGAGAAAGCACTTTGCCTCTATCTTGTATCATAACGAAGATCATCAAAATCGATCAAAACATCTATATGAAACACATTCATCAAAAAGCCCCACACTTACCATAAAATGAAGGAATAAAGCTTTGTGACTATCATGAAATAACCTCTTAACTGCAACACAAGCAGCACCAGAAAAAATAGACATTATAGACTTTATCAAAGTTCAAAATGTGTATTTCAAAAGTAGACTAAGAAAGCCAAAATATGCAAGCAGGCACAGGGGCCGGAGGTTTCGATCCCCGGGCCTGCCCTGCCAGCCACACTCTGGGCATGCTGAGACAGCAACTGAGACTGGGCGTGGTGGCGTGCGCCTGTAATCCCAGCTCTTGAGAGGCTGTAAACAGGAGGATCACTATGAGTCTGATCTAGTAGTGAGACCCTGAACACCCTGTAGACCCTTCCATAAAATAAAGAAAGCCAGCCAAAACAACAATCTAATTATAGAAAAAAACATTTGAAAATAATTTGTGTGATAAAAATCCACTAGCCAAAATATATACACAACTTAGCAACTCAAGAACAACAACAAAAGCCAATTAAAAATAGGCAAAGCAGGACCGGCCAGGTAGCTCAGCAGATTAAAGCATCTGCTTAGGAAGACACAAGGACTGGGGTTCAATCTGCTGTGGGTGTGCAGGCCTGGCCCCCAGGGTGTGCTGAGACATCGACTGAGACTGGATGTGCTGGCATGCGCCTGTAATCCCAGCTCTTGGGAGGCTGAAAACAGGAGGATCACTATGTGTCCAATCCGTGTAGTGAGACACTGTAGACCCTGTACTAAATACAAAGAAAAAGAAAGAAAAAAAGAAAGAAAGAAAGAAAGAAAGAAAGAAAGAAAGAAAGAAAGAAAGAAAGAAAGAGGCAAAGGACTTCAACAGGTATTTTCACAAATACAATACCCACATAGCCACAATACACATGAGGAGTCACGAGTCATTACAAAAGCACACATCAAAACCCAATTAGACACCATTTCATGCACAATGTAATTTTTTTTTTAAGTTTTGGTACCTGGAACCAAACTCAGGACCTCATGCTTGCCCGTGAGTTACAGCCCCAGCCTCACACTATAAATTAAAAGAAAAAAAAAATGAAAAGGGGCCAGGGAGATGGCTCAGTGGAATAAGTGTTTTCCAGCAAGCGCAAGGGCCTGAGTTCAATTCCCAGTTCCACCAAAAAAAACCAAATAAATAAAATAAATTTTAAAAATAAAAGAAGATGAAAATAACAAGTAGTGAAGAAGACGTAGGGGCATCTGAAGCCCCACTTATTGACGATATCAAAGAAAATTAGTTTATGCACTTTGAAAAATGGCCTTGCACTTCCTCAAAATGCTAAACATCTAATTAACACCTCAGCTAGTAATTCTACTCTACAACCAAAAAGGTGAAAATATAAATTCACATACAACAGAAGATACTCAGCCATAAAGGGGAAAGAAGTTCATATATATTCTAGGGCATGAATGAAATTCAAAACATTAAACCAAGTAAAAGGACCCAGATTCAAAACACCACACCGTGCATGATTTCACGTATTCCCAGAACAGATAAATGTAAACAAAAAGGAAATAGATTAATAGATTTCAGGGGCTGAAGAAGGATCAGTCGGTGACTACAGTGTTTCTTTTGAGGGTGATGGAAATTACAAGATGGTGACAGCTGTCCAAACATGTCAACACACAAAAAAATTAATTATATACATTAAAGGATGAATTTTGTGGTAAATTTTTAGCTCTATAAATGCAAAAGTAGTTTCACTTGCATCTCATATGATTATTACAAAATCTTATACATCGAAAAGCTTTATGGTATGAAGATCTTATTGGAAAAATGTTTTAGCACAATTAATCTGTTCATATTTAATGATAGAACTAGTCATATAATAACAAGCAAATATAGATGGCATCTATAATTTTTAGAAATAATTATTTTGTGTACTTCAACAGTTATAGCATTACAGAATTAGAGCTTAATGAATCTGAATATATAAACATCTCACTTCTTCAGAAAGAATAGGATATTATGGAGCTAGACTAACTCCAGAATAGCAATCATTTGGATAAGACTGTTACAAGTTCAGGGAATGCTAGTAACTTCCTTTAAATTCCTGAAGATCTATTCATGAATACCTGGAAAATGCGAAGATCCTACGATTTTCACAGGATCCTGAGTCAAGCGAAAACCTCTTGGCAATAGAACCAAATATCCATCTGTGTAAAATACATAATTAGCAGTTTGCACCACTACATATTCCAAAATATTAAAAATGCTATAGCATCATAGTATATTGGATCTTCCCTCAAGGGGGAAAGACCATAGTTCAATCTGCTCTAACATCTGATTTCGAGTTTCCAAATTCCTCCCCTTCGCACAGCCTAATGGATCTCATTTACCTGCTGTTTCTCCCTAGCATGTCTCACCTGAGCCCTTTAGTATAGCACCATAGAATACTTTCAAATGCAAGCTCCTTACCTTCAAGACTGAAATTACAAATACCCCCAACCTCCTGTTTATCCATATTTTTTTTATCTAACATAGTATGTCACCCATACCTCACTTATAACACTCATAATACTTTGGAATGTATTTATACACATACATAAATCCTTCACTAGATTATAGATTCCATTGATGAAAGCATCAATGTTTGTGCATTTATGAGCACCAACATCCAGCACTGTATCTTCAATCATAATTATACATCCTGATATCCTTCACTCCTAGTGGAAGGAGCAGGTGTGATAGGCAGACAGTAGGGACAGCACATGTGGAAAGGGGCTCTGTAAACACGCAATACTGTAAGCATCATACATAAACCTTAGCACCACAAAAGGAAAGTACCAAGGAAAGGACATGATGTTAGAAGCCAGACCACCTGAGTTTAAAAACAAATAATTAGGGAAATCACTTCAAACACTAGGAGCTGCATTTTCCTTATTTCCAGTAGTTCCTACAGAATCTTTGGAAGAGCTGAGGGGAATACTGCACACACTACAAGGTGTCATATAAGTATCTTGTCTTTACCAGTCATACCCTGGTACCGCAAAAAAAAAAAAAGCAACTGGGCTGGGGAGATAGCTCAGTAGAATAAGCACTTGCCTGGCAAGTGCAGGAATCCCCAGTACCAAGGGGGGGGAAAAAAAACAGTCATAGTTTCCATGTCAACCTACTGGCTGTTTGCACACTTCTCATAATCTCAGAGATCTACTCTTATTAATGGATCAAAAAAAAAAACAAACCACCAAACTTTCAAAACAAAATCATTCTGTCCCACCTAGGTACAAGATAGTGAACCATATTCAAAACCATTTTTTTCTGACAGGGCAACTAAAGGTGCCTGGCTATTTGCCTAGAATAAGCTTTGGATTCTGCCTGCCTGGACTTTGGCACACTGCATAACCCACAACCTCTGCATTTTTATTCTCTCTCCACCTATGGATACTGCCGCATTTCTTCTACATTTATATTCTTGGAGGAGTCATAAAGCAGAAAAAAACCTTCTAGTTAAACAATAGTTGGCCTGAAGCGCCCTTCTTTCTTTAGATATTGTTCATATCATAAATATTTCAGTCCTTCGGTTGTCAAACTTTAAACTCCAAATGGATCCTGCATTTTACACAGAAAACCAATAGATGGAGCTTCACTATCACGGATATTTTAAAGCAATGGGAAGCATACTCAATTGTGAAATCCTCACTACATCCTTATAGAACCCACTGAAATACAGACCACGGGCCCACGAATTTAACTGGGGAATTTACTAAGTGCATTAAATTAAAAACTCCATCTGGGGTTGCCTGCACGATCTGTTCTGTGTTCATGATCAGTTTTCCAGCTTTGCACGCCAGGTATTAGAGGACGTAGCGCTTCCTTGCAGGAACCCAAAGCCCTTGACACGGGAAATAGTTGTCAGCAGGCGCTCAGTTGCCCAGCAGGCAGCTCCTCACCTGAGGAGGGAGCCTGCACCAGGAAGGCAGAGAAGAGGAGGATGGTGGCCCGGGACAGTGGGCAGCCCGAGGCCGGGGCCCGCCGCCGCCAGCCCCGCCACGCCCGGCGGGGGGCCGAGGCCTCCATCCCACGTCGCAGCCGCCTGACTACGCTCGGAAAAGAAGGTCGTTACGCCGCGCGTGCCCACCCGCCACCGGAAGTCGGAGGGCGCCAACCGGAAGAGCATTCCGACGTGCGCGCTGGCACTTCCGCCGGACGCGCTGGCACTTCCGCCGGATGCGCTGGCACTTCCGCCGGGAGCCAGACTGTGAGGGCGCTGGCGCGTGGACCTGACTCCCACAGGCAGGGAGGCCGGGGCTCTCCTACCCGGCGCAGCATGTTAAGGGGCACTTCACACCGAACACTTTGCTTCGCAGGGAACCATGTAGAGTACAAACAACTCACCATAGAAACTGCACCCGGGGGAGGAACCCAGGGCCCCAGAGCTTATGCCTTTACCTCTGAATGACATTTAGGTACTGAAGGAAGATTTTTTTTCCTTACACTTCAGTTCTAAAACCAAGGATTGAACCTAGAGTTACATCTCTAGCCCATTTATTTATTTATTTCTTACTTTTTTAATTTTTATTTTAGTTTTGAGTTAAGCCTTCGCTAAATCACTTAAGTTGTCTGGGCTGTGTTTGAACTTGCTATCCTCCTGCCTCAGCCTCCAGAGTGTTTGGTTACAGGCATGTATCCAAACTGGTTGCATACACATGGACTTGGGGTGCCAACTCCAAGCAACACACAGAATTTATGGGTGATGCACAAACCTCAGAGTTTGCCTGGATCTAGGAATATCAGGAACTAGTGTGTTCGTGGTTGGTGCTTGCCTGAAGACGGCTGCAGTGCACACCTTGTGGCGATTAAAGGTGATCCTTTAGGCTCGAGGAGAAACTCAAAGGATGAAGGGACGACAGGACCATTGAGGAAATGGATTGCATGCAGCACCCTTCCTGGAAAATCATCTCTCATTGCCTAAATTAGGAAAAAAGAAAAATAAATGCATACATAGAAAGGCCCCAGTCAGCCAAAGAAACATTTATAGAGAGAAAATGTTATAGAGAAATTGGGAAAAGAGTAATGCCTCTGTCCCTTTCTCCTGGGGGGTGTAATAGTGACATCTGTGATAGATGTAAATCATGTACAGCAGGTACACATTCATCATGGAAGTTGGAGCCATTAAAGACAGTGCCTAACGAGAAATGGGTTGCCACCTTCTCATGAAATAATTGATTATGAACAGAGTCAGACACTCCCTGGATACATTACATGTGTTTTGAATATGGTACGTGGACAGGGATTTCAAAATCAGCCTAGCCGTGTGACACTCCCTCCCGTAGTGTTAGCAATGCATTGCTAAATTAAAGTGACTTTAGCTGGGACACAGGCATGCTTACTTCATCACATCTTCAGCTCTTGCTGTCGTACAGTTGGCTTCCCTTGTATGTATCTGTGGAATGGTGCATGTCTTGCACATTCTCTTCATTAAGGGTGATGTGAGCTTTGATCCCCATATTCCAAAGTTTGCGATCACTTTGGTAGCTATCTTTAGGTAAATAAAATTGTTTATTGACAAATAAGTTTTAAGTGAACTATACTGGCCAGTGAGATGAGATCTTTTAATGTGGGTTAGTAATTGATAAATTTCCGTAGTTTCTTTTAATGTGGGCTAGTAATTGATAAATTTCTGTAGTTTCCTGAAGTAATTTTTAAATGGTCATTATTCTTATTCTGGATATCACAGTAGCGTTAAAATAATAATAATTCAAAACATGCAAATGAGCCTTGCATTTGACCATAATTTTTGAATTGCCTTAATTAAAAATTAGATACATCAACCTAATTTTAGTATAATACATGTTTTGCAATGCATTTAAACAACACTTAAGTGAGAAATGTTATATATCAGCTAAATACTTCATCATAATTACGTAGTTATTGTTCGAGAGTATATTGTCACTAGATCAATTGCTCAGTACTCCTTAATTGAACACCATTTAACCCATGAGATATCAATTTATGAAAATTTTTAAAATAAATGTCGGTTCTCTGGAATATTAGAGACAAAAACATATTGAAATTGTTACTGCAAAGATTAGTTTCTGTTTTCCCTTAGGGCATTATGACATCCATATTTTGTTCTGGGCATTAGAGTTCTAGCTGTTGCCAAGCAACAAGCGATCTGCTTTCCTTTGTCTGGTCTATTACTGCCCAAGCTGCCTTTGATGGAGAAAAACCTTTACCCTAAAAAATACTTCTTTACAAAATTTAGAAAGATGAATCAATATTTTATGCTACTTCAGCTGTAATCTTCAGTTATTAGAAATTCAGGAATTTTTAGTTAAAAAGAAAAAACCCAACAGGAGAGCCCAGTTTACCAACCTCAGAAATTACAAAAAGAAAGGCCATGGATTTGGGAGCTCAGTACAAACCTGGAAAGATCAGTATCCCTGAGAAGTTCATCTATTCAGGAAAAAAGACTGTTGAGAATATTGATTACCCACACTACTGCGATCTCTTGAGAAGAATGAACATGCCTTTTGTGAAAGGCTTTGAGGACAGACACGACTACGGCAGATTTGAGAGGAAAGGCAGCCCTGCTTTTCTCCAGTTTCACCCGTACCCGCCTTCTGTCCTGCCTGCCTACCACTTGCACTACCCTTACCCACCTCCGTTCGGCCCACGCTATGCGTTATTTCCCCTGCGGGATGATGTGCCCTTAGAAGATCCCTGCTCACGGTTCGTGAGTCCCGCGGGTGATGCTGACCTGAAGCCCGGCACTGGCAGAGCCATCCCCACGCTGGTGGGCTGCACCGACGTGAAGCCTCAGCTCAGAGTTCCCAGACCAGACACGGGGTTTCAGTCAACAGTGAAACGGCAGACAATCCTGTCCCAAGAACTGCAGCAGGACAGGAGATGGAACTCCAGGAAAGTCCCAGACAGTTCCATCAGAGCAAGACTTGGAGGCAAGTAAGGCGACTTGGACTTTATGTGTCTTAAACACTCCAGTGTGGGAGGAAGCCATGGCTACCAAAATTAGAATAACTTGCCTGGCATAGTGGTGCATGCCTGTAATGCCAGAACTCGGGAGGCTGAGGCAGGAAGATCACCATGAGTTTGGGGCCAGCCTGGGCTTCATAGGGGGCTCAAGGCCAGCCTGGATTGTATAGCAAGTCACTGTCTCAAAAAAGAAAACAGAATTTTTGCAGTAAAATTAGCATACAATGATAAGGTATTTTTATATTTTATTACCCATTTTATGAAAAATATAGACAGAGTGATAAAATAAGCCTACTTGCAAAACAAAATTGAACTTAAAAGATGATTTGTTAGGTTAAGTGACCACCACAGTATATGTAGCGTATTATTATGGACATATAGTGCTCACATCCACTGCACATATACTGAAATATCATAAACATACAGACTTAGCTTTTACTGCATGAGGGTTTATGGATCACTTTGGTACCTGTATCAAACCTTCTCCTCTGTATCTGTCCCTTGAAAAAAATCTTCTGATGGTTACGAGACTACAAGGGCTCAAATGAATTCAGAAAGTAGGTGAAAGTAATTGTATAGAGCCAGGAGGAAGAGGAGTTAAAGAGGAGCAAGCGGTCCCTGCGTAAGCAGCACCCCAGCCCTGGACGCAGAATTGCTGACCCTTTACTGAAACCTCCAGAACCTTAATTCCCTTGAGCCCTCCAGTGCACAGCCACAGGCCTGGGCTCATGCACTGAGACAGTCTTCCAGAGGGAAGCCCTGCAGAACACTTCCTGTGCAAAATTGTGTTTGATGGCCTGGAGTGAGAAAAGAAAATATCTAAATGTGCAAACGCAGAGGCCAGGTGCAGCCGAGGGCACCTGGCTTGCGCTCATGTGAGAGGCTGCCCTGCCATCTGAACTCCTCTTTGGAACCCTGACTTAGGCGAGAAAGTAAAGGAGAAAATGTGCAATTTTAAGCATCGCTGTACTCTTTTCCATGGGACCACATCATCTGATATCCTAGCAAGAGTAACAAGTCCAACCCTCTGCATTCTTTAGTCGTGGTAGTACTATTAAACTCCACTAGTATTTTGTGTAGGATTTTTGCATCCATATTCATCAGGAATACTTGGAAATTTTTTCCTGTGTCTTTTTCTGTTTTTAGAGTAATGCTGGCCTCACAAATAAGTCTGAAATACCTCTTCAATTTTCTCTGGAAGAGTCTGAGAGAAATTGGTGTTAAATCTTTCAGTGTTTGGTAGAACTCTTTAGTGAAACTGTCCACTCGTGGACTGGTTGTGAGGGTTTTTTATTTCATCTTCTGTCTTTATTGTTGGTTCACTCTCCTGAGGGAGTTCTAGGTTAGTTCATAGTTTCTGCTTCTTTCTGATTTAGTTTTGGTAAGTTGTGTTTCTAGTAATTTGTCCGTTTCACCTAGTATACCCAACTTGGCGTCGCTCAGTTACTTACACTACTCTTCAACCCTTTTTGTTTCTGCAAAGTCAGTTGTCATGGCTTCTCTTTCACTTCTGGTTTTAGTTATTTGATTCATTTTCATCCATCTCTGTCCAAATACTCATCAATTCTGATGGTGTTTTCAAAGAGCCAGCCCTTATATTTATTGATCTATCTCTATTGTGTTTCTATGTTCTGTTTTTCTTTGTATATCCTCTAATCTTTATTTCCTTCCTTATTCTAACTTCTGTATTGTTTTCTTCTTTCTCTAGATCCTTGAGGTATAAGTTTCAGTTTATCTGGCATCTTCTATTTCACTGTAAATATTTACTACTGTGAACTTCCCTCTCAGTTCTGCTTTTGCTACCTCCTGTGAGTTTTGATACATTGTTTTTTACTTTTATTCTGTAGCAAGGTATTCTGATTTTTTTCTTTGCCATAAAGAAAAAGTCTTCAACACTAATTTCTACTTACTGGTGAATTTTCCCATTTTTCCTTCTGTTGGTTTCCAGCTTTATTCCACTGTAATCACAAAAGAGTCCAGGCATGAGTCCAGTTTTAAAGTTGTTAAGACCTGTTGTATGATCTAATACATGATATTTTCTGCAGAATTTGCTCTGTATCCTTTCCAAGAATTTATATTCTGCTGCTGTTGGATAGAATGTTCTATACATGTCTCTTGGACCTAGTTGGTCTACATGTCATTTAACTGCTCTCATACCTGGTTGATTTTCTGTCTCAGTTCTGTGTCTGTTATTGAAAATGATGTGTTGAGATCACCTGCTGATCTTGTGTTACTATCTCTGTCCCTTCAGTTCTGATTCTCTTGACCTTGGTGAGACTCTTCATGGCAATTATTTTGAACTATCTGTCAGGAAAATTCTAGCTCCTTCTTTTAAAACAATTTTCCTGAGAATTTATCTGCCTCCCTTCCATAGTACGTTTTACCTGAGTTTTTATTGTACCATCTTTGTAGACATTTGTGCATTAGACAAAGCAGCAATGTGTTGTAGTCTTCCTGACATGGCCTGATAAATAGCACATGGGCCAGAGACTGTACAGTTCCTTTTATCTCCAGGTAAAGTTGACTGATGTGAATTTATTCTGCTTGTCCCATGTCACACATGGCATGAGCTATGACTTCTACCAGTGGAAAATGCCTCTCATTCTCCCCTGTGAAACCTCACTGCTCCAGACCAGCAGAGTTCAAGGCCTGTTAAGGTAGGGGGGTGGTTGTGTTGCTCCAAAGAAGTGGAGGCTCTGGACACTTGGATAAATCAACTCTGTTGATCCTAAGAGTCAGCCAAAATCTGAGATTTCTCACTTGCTCACTCTGTACTGAACTTGAGGAGGCTCTCTGTGTCAGCGGTAAGCCAAACTCCCAGCTCTGTCTTTCTTTCGGGTTTATCCAGTAGGGTTCCAAGTTTGTTTCCACAAAAGCAGTGTCGAGAACATGGGATGCCCCTTGCTAGAGAGTGGATGCTGCCTATGTGAGCCAACCCTGTGTCTCCCCTGGGTGAGCTTGGAAGTCAGAACTCACTTCCTGATAGTGTGGCCTGGCACCTGAAGGATAATAAGCAGCTGTTCTCAGCCACTGAAACCTGCCCTGAGTTTGAGGTAGTTTGCAGCAGCAGACACTGCTTCTGGCTGTGGGCAAGGACATCATACTTTGACCTGAATGTGATTATTCTGAGGACATGACTGTCATTCATTATTTAGTTTCTTTTTTCTCCATTGACCAACAATTAAAGATCACTTTCCTTCTTTTCTTCTTCTTCTTCAGAGCAATTAATTGAATAGCTGCAAATAAGATGGACACCGCCAGGTCTTGCCTGTGGTTTTTGCATGATGAACACATAGAGGATTTCCTTTTCTGTAATGTGTCACGAATAGCAGTTATCCACATGGTTTTCCAATGCGGGACTCAGTTCTACCTTTGTTCGTTTGGCTCTCATTTCTGCATCTGCATTAGTTTTTCTGGCTACTACAATAAGCTTAATGGCTTGAGCATTAGTTAGTGCACATTTGGGGGGAGAGGACAGAAGTCGGGCAGGGGAGCCACACCTCTGCCTTCCAGCTGCGCCCTAATGCCAGCAGATGCTGGGTGGAACCATGGCAGTCACCTAAAGGCTCTGGGGGAAAATGCACTCCCAAGGTCCTTCAGCTTGTCACAGAATTCAGTTCTTTGGGCCTGAGACACCCATTTCCTCATTCACTGTAGCCAGGGAACAAACTGCTTTTGGAGGCCACCACTTCCTTCCCACAGGGGCATCCTCTATCTCCAGTATCCACAAAGATATAATGCAGCCTTCTCATCTCTCCCGGACCTCGTGGGTGCGAGCACCATCCCTCATCCACTTGCCTCCTATCCTCCTTTTGCCAGTCCTCTGTGCAGATCCTATCTTGAGTTTCTGAGTCAGACATTGACTGAACTATCTCTTCTTTATGAGAAGACATGACTATATTGACACTATAAATAGCAATACCAGAGCTAGTAATTGTTAATGAAAAAACATGGTGAACGCTTAACGGTGTGCATGCCATTCCCTTGTGGTCTTCGGTTCTAGCTTTCATCCCTGACAGCATTCATTAAAGGTGAGGGAAGTGAGGCTCAGAAGGGTCAGATAACTCACACTGGTCACTGGCATTTGCACAAAAAAACATGTAGAATCTGCTAGGTAGGATCCACAGAGAAATGCGGACCACTCGTGCCGCCCTCAGCATCTCTTGTAACCAGTCTTTCCCGTGCTTTTATTGTGAATGTGCTATCCAACTCATTTCCAAATTTACAATTTTCTAAGTTGAACTGATTTGTGGAGCACATCCAGAAAGCTGAGAGCAAAATCAAAAGCTCTTCCTTTCCCCATAGGACTGGAAAGAGTGTGGACACTGCTAGACTAATGCCCCTGTCCTTGCCTATGTGGACGCTCGTGCACCCTGCAGTAATTTCCCCAAATTACCATTAGTGGATATAACCCTCCAGGGCAGCCCGTGCGTGCCGCCATCCGGGGCCTTCCTGCGCAGCCCATGCTCTCATTCTCTACTTCGTTCTCCGCCACTCTTTGCTTACCATGTCACGATCTGGCCAACGCTAAGGTTTATCTTTTCTGAACGTGGCCACACTGCCCAAGAGCTGAGCTGCTGTCCCACGTGCGAGTTCCCTGCCTGGATGACTTGCCTTGCTCCACTTCCCCTTTTGAAATTTATGTACCGTTCAGTTGTCAAGATTAGATCAGCTGTCACCTTCAGGAAGATGTTCCTAACTCCTGACCGTCTGGTTGGATGAGATAGCTCTTTGCCGCTCCCCACCCCCCCCCCCAGAACGTGGGGCTCCGCTAATATGGTGCCTGCCACACCACCTTGAAAGTGTTCACTTATAAGCCCCAGTTTTCCACTTGTCATAGGCACCCCAAAATCAGAAACACTGTTTTTCATTTTTATACACTCTTCAGGTTCCACTAGTGGTACAGTGAGTACTTTTGGAAGGGCGATTTTATATTTTTATAAAATATTGTATATTACTAGTCTCTCGGGGATATAGTTCCCAACAGGTCTCTTCCAATAATAAATTTAAAATACCAAATAATTGTCTACTATTATAATTATACTAGCATGTAAGTTCTAATAAGTATAATTATGTACATTATTATAAATTGTTACATAAATTATAATTGTATTAGCATTAAATTTGCAGCACTGTTCTGTTTTCACTGCGAAAACAATCCAGAAAACTCATTACATAACCCATCCCCAATCAACACCATCTAGTTTAATTCTTTAATACAAAATATGTATGACAGACAAAAAAAAGCCGCTTGTGTTTTTAACCTGCGGGAATACACTTCTGGTTTCCAGGTTGGACGAGTCCGGTCAAAGTTACTCCGCCGAAAGCTCAACACCAGCGGAGCTTGATAAATCACATGGGCGCGCTCCATGACGAGGAGGCGGCGGCGTGCTCGGTAAGATCCTCCTCGCACCCGCTGGACTTGAGACAGTGCTCAGTCTGCCTGTGTGTGTGGTCCGCTTCCAGCTCTGCTGCGCCTGGCGCTGTGCAGCCTCGCGTGTGCCCGGCGCTGTGCAGCCTCGCGTGCTCCCGGCGCTGTGCAGCCTCGCGTGTGCCCGGGATGTGCAGCCTCGCGTGCGCCCGGGATGTGCAGCCTCGCGTGCTC